AAGAAAAAAGCCGGAAGTGGTGCTGTGGCTCAAGTGGTAGAGTGCTAGCCTTGAGCTGAAGAGCTGAGGGACAGTGCCCAGGCCCACAGTTCAGGCCCACAACCGGACCCCAAAAAGAAAAAAAAAAAAATGTACACAAAACAGGTTGGGAAAGTGGCTCAGTGGTAAAGTGCTTGCCTTGGATGCATAAGGCCCTGGGTTCAATTCCTCAGAACCATATAAACAGAAAAAGCCAGAAGTGGTGCTGTGGCTCAAGTGGTACAGTGCCAGCCTTGAGCTGAAGAGCGGAGGGACAGAGTCCAGGCCCATAGTTCAGGCCCCACAACCGACAAAAAAAGAAAAAGTACACAAAACAGAGTTCCAGTGACTCAGGCTTGTGATTCCAACTCACTAAAGCCTGAGGTCAGATCTTAGAAGGCTAAAATCATGGTTCAAAGCCAACCTAAGCCAGGTGCCGTTGGCTCAGACCTGTAATCCTAGCTACTCGGGAGGTTGAGATCTGAGGATCATGGTTCAAACACAGGAGGGGCAGAAAAGTCTGTGAGACTCTTATCTCCAACTAACCACCAGAAAACCAGAAGTGGAGCTGTGGCTCAAGTGGTAGAGCGCTAGCCTTGAGCTGAAGAGCTGAAGGAGAGCACCCAGGCCCAGAGTTCAGGCCCCATGACTGGCCCCCCAAAAAAAAAATCCAACCTGAATAGGAAAGTCCAAGAACTCTATTTCTAAAACTAGCAAAAAGCAGAGCTTAGAGATGTGCCTCAAGTGGTACAGGAGCCAAGCCAAGCAAGCCAAATGAGCACAAGGGCCTGCATTTAAACACATTTGTATATTTGGCAGGACAGGGTGTTTATGTAACATCAGAGGATATTACTGAAATGAAAATCACTGAAATGAAATGGGAAGTCAATGTGTCCTGAGTCCCACATATAACCAATTCTCTAATGATGTCCACATTGCTGGTCCTAGAACCATGGTCTGGGCCCAAAGCAGTGTTCATCTAGCAATTAATGGCCCACACAAATGTAGCCTCTCATCTAATTGTATAAATAAGTTTTATTAGAACACAGTATGGATATCTTTTTACAATTACTTTTCTGCTATAACTATAGGACTGAGTGGCTGCAAGAGAAGTCATATGGCCCACAAAGTCTAAATACGTACTCTAAGACATTTAGCAAAAAATATGTTAGCCTTTCTTCTAAAACACTGCTTTTCAATTTGTTTAATCCAAACCCTTATGCTATTTTCCATCATTCTATTTTCAGTACATAAAGACAGTGCTTTATCAAATTGAGATAACCAAAACAATAGACTGATTACATAAAACTGTTTAAGATACACACATCCTTTCCCTTAGTGGATGCTAGGGCAACTCATCATGTTAAAAGCTTTAATGCTATTAATAAGCCAATAATTATTGATAATTCAGTAGATTTGTTTCTGGAGTGTGGAAAAAGTAGACTTCAGGACCACATTCCATTTATTTGTATGGAAAGAAAGCTATGGTTTACTTCATTAGTATGTTTCAAAGGAAGAAAATTATGAATGATTTGGAAATTTAATAAAACTTCCAGAACTGTCTCTGACATCAGCTCTACGTTTCACATCATCTATCTGCATGCATATTAGTTTCTAATATATGACAAAATAAAAATAATCAAAATAATCACTGGACAATATGCAAAAGAGGATGTCATATCTTCTAAGGATTATCTATCTAAAATAACCAAAGCTTCAAAACATTTATTTCATAGAATGTGTTTATCTAGAACACTACTGTTTTCCTTGCTGAACTGTCTTCCCTATACATTGCTGAGAAGGATATATTTATAAAACACCAATCTCAGTATTGAACTTTTAGATTGTACTTAATGAGTGACTCAGAGGAACACTTATTAAAGCACTTCTCATGATACCTGGTTAGTGGGGCTTTTGAAGGCAATGTTCCTTTATCTATCTGTTCAGATTTAGAACCAGTATTAGATCTTTCTTCTTTATCAGACACAATCATTTCATCTTGAGGCAATTGAACCATGTTCCTTTCTTCACAGAGATCTCTTATGTTGTCATGAGGAACAGATCCTGTATTCTGAAAAGTTGGATCCAGTTGCTCATTTTGATGTTCTGGAGTTGTATGTAAGCTTTCTGAGGCAGGGAAAATGCCTTGTCTCTTGTAAGACAGCCCTTCAATAAAAAGAGCAAATGGTAAACAGGTCATTATATCAAAATTAACACACTCAATTCAACTGCAGTATTTGAAGGAAAAAAACACAGTATTCATAACAGACCTACTTTACTAAGAGAAACCTAAATTATAATTAGGGGAGTTATTTGGATTAGGAATAACTAGTTAGGATGCTGGGCGCCGGTGGCTCACACCTGTAATCCTAGCTACTCAGGAGGCTGAGATCTGAGGATCACGGTTCAAAGCCAGCCTGGGCAGGAAACTCTGTGAGACTCTTATCTTCAATAAACCACTAGAAAACCGGAAGTGGAGCTGTGGCTCAAGCAGTAGAGCGCTCACCTTGAGCTGAAGAGAGGGACAGCGCCCAAACCCAGAGTTCAAGCCCCACGAAAAACAAAACAAAACAAAAAAAGAATAACTAGTTAGGGCTAGGAAGGTGGCTCAGTGGTAGAGTGCTTGCCTTGTATGCATGAGGCCCTGAGTTCGATTCCTCAGCACCACATAAGCAGAAAAAGAAAAAAAAGCTGGAAGTGGCGCTGTGACTCAAGTGATAGAGCACTAGCCTTGAGCTGAAGGACAGTACCCAGGCCCCGAGTTCAGGCCCCGTGACCAACCAAACTAATAATAATTAAAAGAAAAAAAAAAAACGGCCGGGCGCTGGTGGCTCACGCCTGTAATCCTAGCTACTCAGGAGGCTGAGATCTGAGGATCGCAGTTCAAAGCCAGCCTGGGCAGGAGAGACCGTGAGACTCTTATCTCCAATAAACCACCAGAAAACCGGAAGTGGAGCTGTGGCTCAAGCAGTAGAGCGCTCACCTTGAGCTGAAGAGAGGGACAGCGCCCAAACCCAGAGTTCAAGCCCCACGAAAAACAAAACAAAACAAAAAAAGAATAACTAGTTAGGGCTAGGAAGGTGGCTCAGTGGTAGAGTGCTTGCCTTGTATGCATGAGGCCCTGAGTTCGATTCCTCAGCACCACATAAGCAGAAAAAGAAAAAAAAGCCGGAAGTGGCGCTGTGGCTCAAGTGGTAGAGCACTAGCCTTGAGCTGAAGAGCCGAGGGACAGCGCCCAGGCCCAGAGTTCAGGCCTCACGACTGGACCCAAAAAAAAAAAAATTAGACCCTAAATGCTTTATCTAGAAAGAGGCTGGGAATATGGCACAGTGGTAGAGTGAGTGCCTAACATGCATAAAGCCTGCGTTCGATTCCTTAGTAGCACATAAACAGAAAAAGCCAGAAGTGGCACTGTGGCTCAAGTGGTAGAGTACTAACACCGAGGAAAAGAAGCTCAGAGACAGCGCCCAGGCCCTGAGTTCAAAACCCAGGAATGGCCAAAAAAAAAATCCAGAAAGATTTTTAATTTCTATGAAAACAGCCTCCAAGATCTTTTCAGTCTCCACAGATGGCTTAAGCTGGGAAAAATTTCTGTTATGTTAAAAAAGCAAATTCTCAAGATATAGCTAAAGACCAGTAAAAACAACCACTTCAGGAATGGGTATCTGTGGGAGGGAAGACAGTGAAAGGAGTCAGTAAATGCAGTTATATTCAACCTCACCGAAATATGATCAAAAATACTGTGTATTACACATACAAAAACAGAATAATAAAAAATATTTTGTTTTGTTTTTGCCAGTCCTGGAGCTTGAATTCCTGAATGCTCCACCACTTGAACCAGAGCTCCACTTCCAGCTTATGGACTTATTGGTCCAGGCTGGCTTTGAACAGTGATCCTAGATCCCAGCTTCCTGCATAGCTAAGATTATAGACATGAACCACTGGTGCCCCAAAGAAGGATTTTTGGTGATCTTGGAGCTTCACCTCTGGGCCTGGACACTGTCCCTGAGCTTCTTTTGCTCAAGGTTAGCACTTTACCCTCAGTCACAGCACTACTCCTGAATTTTTCTGAGTAGTTTATTGGAGTCTCAGAAATTTTCCTGCCCAAGCTGGCTTCAAACCTCTATCCTTAGATCTCAGCCTTCTGAGTAGATAGGATTACAGGCCTGCGCCATCAGCACCCAGCAAGAAGTTATTTTAATAAGGGAGGAAAGCAGAAGATAAGGAAGGATAGAACAAGTGTGTGCATGTATGGAAATGTCACAATGAAACTTCTCTTGTACAACTAATATATGCTAATTTAAAAAAAAAACTTTAAAAAAATAATCACCTAGGGCTGGGATGTAGCTCAATGGCAAAGTGCTTGACTAGCAAGTGCAACATCCTGGGTTCAATCCCCAGTACCAAAAAAGACCAAAAAAAAAAAAAAAATTTAAAAAAATCATCTTTATATTTAGGTTCTAATTTGTAAAATTCAAATACTAAGCTATGCATTCAAATTCTTCCACTAATTACAGGATGAAAGGAGCATCTTTTGCTTATAAATGTGCTAAGGTCTAAAACATTAGCAAGAAAAAATTATTCATAACAAAAGTGTTATTTTTAGAGAAAAGTGAGCCAGGTTTCTGTTTCAAGCTTGATTGTCGAGATGCATCAGAAATATTCAGAAGAAAAAGAGAAAAAAGAATCAAAAGTACTTAGTAAAATGCAGCCATGTAAAATTTATTTCACTCACCTGTTGCCTCAGAAACATTTGATTCCTTTGAACACACCTGTTTGTAAAATATGTACAAAAATATTTTAGAAATTCTCTTAGTAAATATAATTGAAATTAAAGTGTCCTCTTTCCTCCTTTCTTTCCTAAAAAGAAAGCACCATACATCTAATAGGAATTCAACCACTTATGAAAAGATATTGCTATTAGTATTTATGTGCACTGGAAGAGGCATAGCTGCCAAATGCTCTTTACCTCAGGTACAATCCTGGTATCAACTGAACAGTACCCCCTAACACCAAAGGAAGAAGTCAAATACTCAAATTTTTAAATATATTGCACTACAGATCAAATTAAGGGGCCTGAACATGCTGAGCACATTCTCTACCACCCCTGAGGTACCTTCCCAATACCTCAAATGAAATAGTTCAAGCAGTAAATTAACAGATTAATCATCAAGAGCAAATAATGTGTTTCAAGAATGAGAAGATTGGAAGGGGCGCTGTGGCTCAACTGGTAGAGTGCTTGCCTTGAGCTGAAGAGCCTAAGCCCAGAGTTCAAGCCCCACAACCAACCAAAAAAAAAAAAAAAGAATGCAAAGATGATTCATCATAATGAAATCTAATCAACAGATCCAAGGAGAAAAATACTATATATTTATAGTATTCATTTTTGGACAAAGTTAACCAAATATGCTAGATACAATTCTTTTTCCCCAGATAAAATGTCAATATGCTACTCAGACTGGTCTGGAACTTGTAGGCAATTGTGCTGTACAATTTTACTGAATACAAGGTATTTTTTTCTTTCTGGTCCCTCCCACTCCAGTACTGGAGTTTTTAATTTAAAAACTCACAGTCTCTACTACTTTGTTTTTCAAACAAGATCTCATATTTTTTGCCAGAGCCTGCTCAGAAAGAAATCCTCCTACCTATGTCTTTAGTAGCTGTGATTACAAGTATCTAATACCATACCAAGTTAATTTGATGATAGGGTCTCACTAACTTTTTGCCCAAGTAGACCTCTAATTGCAGTTACCCTATCTCTAGTTCCCAAATAGTTAGGATTATAGTCTAAACCACTATATCAGGCCCTTAATAACACTTACGTACCTCCATTATAGTCAGTAATAAGAACAAGATACCGATTCTTAGTACTACTTTTAAACATTTTCCAAGTCCATGAGAATCTTATCTCTAACCATCAAAAAAGCCAGAAAAGAAGGTGTGACTCAACTGGTAAACTACCAGCTATAATTGAAAAAGTCAAGCAAGGGCCTAAGGTCTGGAATTTAAGATTCACTACCAGTGCAAGTGTGGTGTGCTTGCGCATATATGTACGCACACACACACACACACACACACAATCACTCTCATTTTCTCTGTCCCAGCTAGCTTCAAACTGCAACCCTCAATCTAAGCCTCCTAAGTAGCTAAAACTATAGGTGTGAATCATATGAATACTCAAATTTTACCTAAAACAAGCAAATTAATAAAAGTTCTTCTGGAATGCCACTATTTTTTTGGGGGGGTGGGGTGGGGTTCCAGTCGTGAGGCCTGAACTCTGGGTCTGGGCACTGTCCCTCAGCTCTTCAGCTCAAGGCCAGCGCTCTACCTCTTGAGCCACAGCGCCACTTCTGGCTTTTTTCTTTTTGCTTATGTGGTGCTGAAGAATCGAACCCAGGCCTCAGGCATGCAAGGCAAGCGCCACCTTCCCAGCCCCAATACCACTATTTTCTAACCATATATAACACTACCCTTCCTCTGAGTATCCTAACATCCAAAAAATTGTTATCTTCAAATTCTCCCTGAAAATATAGATTTTAAAATGGCTTTTCAATAGTGTTGTTACAAATTTGAGTGGTATCACAAACAAAACTAACGATGCATTCAAAAAACTGTAAAAGTGAATAGTGACCAAATCTACATAGTCAGGTTAGACTTACTTCCTTTAAGGATTAATTGAAAATGTTTGTTATATTTCAGAAGGGAATGATTTATAAGGGAGAGGACATGAAATGCTTTAGAACATGAAGAATACAATACTGAAAGACAATTTGCTAGAAAAACAGATTAGCACAAAAAGCACACCCCAGAAAATCTGGTATCATTCCTAAGAACAATGGACTTTTACATCTAATTTTTTCGTCGTCTTCTTCTTTTTTTTTGTTTTTTTTGTGGCAGTACTAGGGGGTTTGAACTCAAGACTGGAGTTCTATCGCTTGAACCACAGCCCCACTTGGCTGGCTTTGAACTATAATCCTTGGATCTTTGCCTCCTGAGTGGCTAGGATTACATGTATGAGCCACCAGTACCTGGAAGCTTCACACATTATAATGACGCTATACATAAATTACTACTTTACACATAAGAAATTAATTCAAGAGGGAAAGCACCTCATATACAGTCCCACAGCTATTAGGAAGCACAGCCAAGATCCAGATCTACAAAATACTCTTGGGTCTACTTTCAGGCACTGCCACCAAGTTAAGCATTGAGTTCCTGATTAATGAGCATCAACTTTCACCTTGAACAGCTTCAAATGGTAATTCCAAACTGGATTGATACAGACTATTTAAGATGAGTAAGATGAGAAAGGTCGGAAATATACTGAAGTACATAATATACATCTATAAAAATGTCATAACAAAATGATAATCAGGCATGTAAAAATTTAAAGAGTCTTGAGCTGGAAATGTGGCTCAATGGTACAGTGCTTGCCTTGCATTCATGCCCTGGGTTCGAATCCTCAATACTACATACACAGAAAAAAGCTGGAAGTGACACGTGGCTCAAGTGGTAGAGCAAGCCTCAAACAAAAAGAAGTTCAGGAACAATGCCCGGATCCAGAGTTCAAGCCTCAGGACTGGCAAAAAAAAAAAAAAAATTCTTTAAAACTCTGAATGAGGGGCTGGGAAGGTGGCTCAGTGGTAGAGTGCTTGCCTTGCATGCATGAGGCCCTGGGTTCGATTCCTCAGCACCACATAAGCAAAAAGAAAAAA